GGATGTTATCTTTTTATGGAACAATGTATGTTGACATCCATTAATATATATATATATATATATATATATATATATATTTCCACTGATCAGTAGTTAATTGCTTGATTTTTTTTACCAGCCATTTATATTTGTGCTTACCTGGAGCCATATCAAACACTGGTGTGTTCATTCTTGATTGGTTACATAGTCATCTAGACAGCCGTGTGAGCTGTAGATCCCGAGTGCTCTCGATCAACCATAGTGGCCTTATGAATGAATAGCTATCTCACATATATCTTATTTAAAGCCTTTTGCTGATAATAACCTGATGAGCAGATCCTGTTACTCTCATTCCCCACTTCCATCCAATCCGAATCTAAAATTAAGAATTTAATCCAATCCAATCCAATCCAATCTGTTACAAGTATTTTATGAGTACAATTTCTGAAACATATATATTGTCTTCGGCAGGGAATGGGATGAGCTACACAAAGATCTGTGGTGTACAATGGGAGATCAGATTAGCTGAATGCATTGGCCGTTTAGGGGGCCGGGTGGAACCAATGATAATACCCTATGCCAGTGATAAGACACATTGGGTCCCCCAATAAGAAATTGAATGGTTGTGGGCCTCATATATTTATGACTAGCCGGCATGGGGCATTTTCACTGATTCTACAGCTGGTTATATATATATATATATATATATATATATATATATATATTATAGCTATTGTATTAAGCGTGCTAATCTCAGTTAGTGCAATGGGCTATATAACCAATCAAGAGAGTGAACACCAGGGGTGTAATCGAGTTGAGTCAAGCTTATCAGGCTGTTCGAGCTTGAGCTTGACTCAAAAACATTTTGAAACTCAGACTCGAGCTCAATCAAGTTTCATGTTTTTGGCTTGAACTTGACTCTAGTTGATACTCACAGGTTACTCAAGCTAATTATAAATAAACTAGTATTGAAAATTATGAATGCATTAATATTAAGCATATTAAAATATAGAAAATAAAAATATATTAAAAATTATAAATATTATAGATAAAAATGTATTATGAAATTCAATTAATAATTTATTTATTTATATTATATATAAGATTGTAAAAATTAATGTTTATTTATATCATAAATACAAATATATATTAAAAAACTAGTATTTGATTATGAGTTCGATTAGGCTCGCGATTGTAAAGCTTGAATTCAGCTCTCGACCAAATACTTGACTCGAATCAAACTTGACTACTTTGAGCTGAATAATTTGCAAATAGGCTCGACTCATATACACCCCTAGTGAATACACCAGTGTTCTATATACACATAAAATCCACATCTGATGTGTACAGAGCACTGGGGTATTCACCCTTTATACATCGTAGCCTATTGTATGCGACCTTCACCGGTAACCCACATCTTATGTCGCTGCTGGTACTTCGTAGTTTAGAATAATAAGATGATTTGGATAAAATTTTTCCTCTCCGGCCATTGTCGTTTCCTAGCTTCTATCATATGTTTATTGGATTCGTGGTGGATGTCCAATCCAATCCAATAATCTAAATCAATAAAATTTTAATCAAAATTCAATCCAATTAGCTTAATGAATGCCCAAATCCACTTTAATTAGATTGGATCTATATATATAGAGAGAGAACTACTAAGTTAGGATGATTCTCCTAAAGAATTTAAGAGGAGATATATGTTATGTTATATAAGAATGGGTAGAGGGAGGGACAAGGGATACACGTGGGGCCATTACATACATGTGCTTCACCATCCATTAAAGGGACCTCTTAAATGTATTCACCCGACCAGTCATTTTTCTTGGTGTCCATATATGCCAAAGGAACAACATGCTTTTTACACTTTTTAAGACACATTAATTAATACATCATCATCATTATCATCCTACCCTTGTCCCAATTATATGGGCTAGCTGGAATGTATAGTTGAGGTAGCTAGAATGTTATTTTACCATTATGTTGGGGGTTCTCATGAAAAACTGAAAAACCAAATTAAATCAAATAAATTGAATTAAAAAAAATTTAATCGATCCAATTGGTTCAGTTTCAATTTGTTTTTTTTTAAAGCTTTTTTTTATTCAAATTTGATACTATAAAAAAAACCAACGATTAATCGAACCGATGAGTGATACATGTATAACACTATATACATATTTACATATATAATATCATTAGGTGTATATATTTTATTAATTGTATAAAGCTACTAATCCAGTTATGAGCTATTATATTTGTGTATATATATATATATATATATATATATATATATATANTATATATATATATATATATATATATATATATAACCTACCCATGTAGCTACCTTAATGGCCTAATTTATACTATTTGACATTTTGTGATAACTCATACTTTCTCTACTTTAGATTCCCAATTTCTCTACCCAAGCTACCCACCCAGCTGGTATAATCAGGTCTGACCTGATAGATTCGATTATACTGACATATATAATTTCGTATATAAATAATAATTTAAAACAAAGTTTTTGATAATATAGCCTTAATAAAATAACAGTAAAATTATTTTTAATCAAAAGTATTTTATATTATCTATCAAACTTACCCTTTTAATCATAAAATATAATAAAATTTACTAGAAGTCTTAAAAAGCCTTTACATATTATTAATAAAATAATTGGTTTGGGTCTAAGTTGGTTTGAAACAAACAAGAACCAGAACCAGAACCAGAACCAGCCCAATTATTAGTTGGGACTTAAAAAAACTGATATAATTGGTTCAATTTAGTTCAATCGGCTAGGTAGAATCGACCCATTGGCAGCTCGACCTAGCCATATTCATTGTTAAACTATGGATGCTTAAATCGTTTTTTTATTATCTGCACCCAAGTCCTTTTTGCTCTGCCTTAATCTTCTAACCCCTTCAACACATGATAGATTACTCTTTTTTTGACAGGTACTAGTCATGTAGGTAATAGAACAACATGATCTATATACACATAGAATACTAGTCAAATTTCTTATATGTTAGAGCTCCATCTTTGTACGTATTCACATTAGATATTCAAGAGTGTGGAAAGCTGGTTACGGAGAGAACATGGTTCTGTGGTGGAGGGTAGGTACATGTTTGGCTCCACTCTCATTTTTGCTCTTTCTTTCCAATATGAAAATTCTATAATGGACAAGAATGAATAAAAATGGGCAGAACAGAAAATGTTGCTATGAATTAAATGCCTTTTCTACAATGAAATGAATTCTTTTCGTGGAAATGATGAGAATAAATTGAATTCATTTGGTTGTAAGTTTCATTCTTTTTTTTCATCCATGAAAATAATAATATAGATATAAATACAATACTCATTAGCAAATAGTGGAAACATGCATGACCCACACAACAAAACACAAATTAATCATGTGGGCCCTACATCAATAACACATATATGAAAAAGGAAGAAAAAAAGACGAGACTAGAAAAGTTTTTGCATTTGGTTATATATATAGAGAGAATACAAAAGAAAATTTAAAGGAAGCAATTAGCACTTGTTTAAAACTAAAATTTGAATCGAATTGGCTGTTGTGCAAATAAAGAATGGAGCTTGAAACTTTTAAATAAAAATAGAATTTCAAACCTTTAAAATTAGAAATAAAATTAATTATCTAAAAATTTCACCAAATTGATAATAGCATATACGTTAAAGATAATACACTAAAAAAGTCACAAAATGCAATAAAACATCATATAATCATTCCCCATGTTGCTCATTTTTATTCTTCAAAGAAGCTCTACCGGACGGTCACCTTATGCCAATGCTCATTTTTATGTCGACATAGAGATTCTTTGAAGAATGAAAATGAACATGGGGCATGTTGATTAATGAATCTTATGGCAAGAATTTTGAAACCAAACTCTCAGATTTGGCAACCATTCGAATTACATAAAACATATATTTGGCATATGAAATCCAAAGCTCTCTTTCTCTCTCTCAAAAATAAATAAACAAAATATATATATATATATAGAGTATACAAGGAGGCAGTTTTCAGTTGAGGGACCAAACCCAGCTATCCAAACAGAAGGTGCCAATTGGCTTAATTGGTAATGAGGTCTTTGGGTGGTTGTAGGTAGCAGAGACTTTGAATCCAGTCTTCACCGGAGTTGGGGTTATGGGTGTGGCCGTTTAAGGACGGGTTAGATCAGGCTGTGTATTGGTAAAAACAAAATAATAATAATAATAATAGTAGTAATAATAATAAATAAATAAATAAAACATAAAATAAAATAAAAATGAAATAAAATCTGAGTGTGTAGCCCCATCACCCATGGAATCAACCAAGTCCTTATGGAACATATGGCGACATTCAAACAAATCAAACCTGCACACTACACACTGGGTAGATGTCCTTTAACCTACACAAGCACATGACACAGTGCAACTCGGTCCCCTCACCATCGTCTCCTTCCACAATGGGAAGAAACTCCATTCATGTTAAGCTGGTTGACCAAGACAATAAGCCTGCGCACATTGTCTCCTTCCACACTGCATAGAGGGATCGAGATTCTTTGGAAGAAGAAGAAGAAGAATGGGTGGTGCTCAAAGAGACACATATATGCATGGCGATCGATGGACATGGAAAAAAAATCAAAATTTCAAAGGGGTGAGAGAGGATGTAGAGAAGATACTGAGCTGCACAAAAAGTGGCAATTAAAACAAACAATGACAGAGTACCAAATTAAGTTAATAATAATTAACATTATCCTTGATTTACATTACATTGGCTAATCCAAATAGCTAGATAGTAAAACCAAAGAAGCATGGAGGTGACTCATGATGAGATGGAAGGCAACATGGAGAAGCCAAGCCACAAACTACAATATTAATTAGGGAAATGCTTAAATTAAATCAATGTTGTAATATATAGATTGTATAGATCACTTAATATAATTAATTAGCTAGACGATCCTCTCGCTCCATGAGGGGTGGGGTGGTCTAAATTTATAGTCTCATGAGCAGCGCCAGCGCAGTTAGCGAGTGGCAAAAACATCATGTCCACAACCAGCTGCATGAAAACCCAGCTCCGTTCTCCCTTCCAGAATAGTTTGGAGATGGTGGGGTGGACAAGGCAGCACAAGAGCACCCTCTTGCTTCAGCCCGAATTCCTCTTCCGCCTTATTCAACAAGCTCAGGAACTCAGGGTTTGTCAGGTAGCTCAATTCAACAATGAACCTCCTCCGCTCCCCGTCCTTGACTGCGAATACCGCAAAATGTCCCTCTTTCACGTCGGCTGGCACCTCCGCATTGAACCCCGCCGATTCTTTCTCGTCCTCCTCCTCCTCCTCCTCCTCATCATCATCATCTGCATTGTAATTGCGAAGCCTCTTAGATAGCCAGAAGCCCTTCAGCTGCAGCTTTTCCACCATAAACCTAAGCTTCATCCCACCACGCTTATTCTCACTCTCACCACTCTTCACCATCGATCTCAATTTCTAAATTCCAAAACTCTCTCACCACTACTCTTATTAGCTTTTCAATTCATAATTAAGCTCCAGGTTTTCTTTCTCTCACCCCTTTGGCTTTATATAGATTATAGAAAAGCTAGAGGAGGCTACGTACCGCCAACGTATGGGGTCCACTGCACTACTTTTACATGTGACCCCACCATCCTGTGCACTTTAATCATACTCACTTGATGAGTCTTTTTTCTTGTGATCTGTAATTTGGGTAATGGCTCCAGATGGCCAGATCTGCTGCACTTTTTTTCCTACGTTTGTTACACCAAGCAATCCTTGTACGACGGGTGTTCTATTAAATGTTTGAAAAAACCGACTAATAAGTTTTACAGTGCTACGTTCTCAACTTCTGTCACGCTGATTGCTACGTTTTCGTTTAGGGAGGGTACAATACGACAATTTGCAGCAGATCATCTCGACTCCTGTTAGATTAAAGAGCTGCAATCTGGTTTGGCATGTCATGGCATGGATATCTCTATCTGATCCGGATTTGATCTCACTAAGCGTACATGATCTTAGGGTCTTGTTTGTTTTAAGTGTAAATCTCTGAACTCGATATAAATTTTAGGTCATTATATTTGTCCCATTTGCTCCCTTCCTACCTTGATTCTCTCCCAATATAAAGTGGGGACTCTGCCATTTTGCTTCTTCTAAAAGTAAACCAGAATATTAACCCGTATAAAGTTAAATTAGGACCACATTTCACTTGCTATTTAATTTCTCACACACAGACAAGACAGAGTTAAAAAATGAGAGGAAGATTTAACTGAACCTTTGACTGTTCAGCGGGCCGTGGAACCTTATGCCAGTATTAAATACATGGGGTCTGTATCTTTTACGTGGGGCTATGAATTTAATATTGGTATGGAATCTCATCATTGGCTCCACAGCCTGCTGAACAGCTAAAGCGTCCAGCTAATTGGAATTCTTAAAATCAGTAATAAATCAGAATTAACCCATTTACACTCCTATACATTTACACTAACGCAAATAAAATTAACACTGCAAACAAATAAACAATGATTTTAAATTTTTATTTTAAACTTATTGTTCATTTACACTAATGCAAATATAAATACAAATATATATTACCAAACTTTGTATGTTATATTTATAAATCTTGTATTTGTATTGTACATATATATTTTTGAAATTATATAAGAACCCGAAAGTTACCTTGTGTTGATCGAGTTGTGCTTTGAATTCTAGTTTGTGACTTACTTCATGATTCGTCCCAATGTTTATGAGAAGAACCCGAATGAGAATTGTCATTGAGATATGTAGTAGATGCGGAGGCCTTGACAGTATCTCTCTGTGCTGGGTCTGTCATTAATTGCAAACTGGAACTCTACGGTCTGATCCAAGTTTGACAACAACGCAATTTAACATTCAATCCAATGCAATTATTAAGCTTTCTTTCGCCAAGAAAAGCAACCTTGTAATCAAGATCCATTCTTGCAAAACTTTATGGGGGTGTTTGGCGAGTCTTTTCATGTGGGTTTTTCAAATCTTTGAAGATCAAAATTTAGTCTTTCACAGCAAAAGAAAGAAAGCTAAAAACATCTATGTCCTAAACAACTCACAAAAGCCCAAAATGGCCAAAAATCCGAGAGCTTCAAATGTATTTTCTGTTTCCTGCACATAAAATCTTTCATTTAACAGCTTTGTAAACCAGGATAGTTACTAAACGGTCTAGATCTTTCAAGACAAGACCCCAAAAGCCCATTACATATTTTTCCATCTTGGTTATTAGAAGATCTTACTAAAAGGACTTGCCAAATGACATCTATATATCTACACTGCTATTAAGGGGGCGTTCTTTTTCCGGATTTTGAGAGGGGAGAAGTTGGATAATGGGATTTTGGTTCCCATTGACCAAGAATCCCATGTTCTTTTTTCAGATTTATGTGGGGAACTGGGAAAGTTTATTTTCTTGGGTATCAAGTGATACCCATCTCCTAGGTGGGTAAATAACTTTCCCACCTAGGGGGAAAGTTGACAATACTTGAATGGGACAAAAATACCCTTTTTAATAATGAATTTTTATGGATAAAATGGTCATTATCTTATTTACATGAGAAATAAAAGAACATGGGTAAATGCACTTATCCACGTAAGTGTTTCCCATGAAAAACTTACCCAAGTAACTGCATTTACCCGGGTAAGTAACTTACTGAAAAGCGAACGGGGCCTAAAAGTATTCATATTTTTGAATTTGGTTCATCCCTAATTGTAAGGGTAGAAAATGTAATTTGAGCTACTTTTCACATCATTTAATTCCCTCACAAAGTCTTTATTTAAGATATCAACTCTTACTCACTTTTATCAAATCCTATATTTAAGATTTTTTTTTCACTAATAAATTTGACATATTCCATCATCATCATTATCATCTAAGCCTTGTTCCATTTGTTTGGGCTTGGCTACATGAATAAATTTGATCTGTATCCAATACCTTTAACAATACAAAACTCTTTTCTTTAAAAAAAAACTATATAAAACCCAAGTTTTTAAAAATTGGCTTGAAAATGAAACCATTTTTTTATCTAAGTGCTAGTAAACAATTCAACCATTTGGGTCAAAATGCTAAGCCCATGATGTCATAGTTAAATAACTACTACAACGTTTACAAAAATTTTGCAAAAAATTACAAAAAATTAAAACATTTCATATTAATCATATCAAATATAATAAGAATTTTTTTATTAATGATGAAGATAAAATACAAAATTTAAGACATCACAACCTAAAAACAAAATTGTTTTCCTATTTGGAATGTATAAGCCTTGATGTCAGAATTAAATAATAAAAATAAAAGTAAAAGATAAAAACATAAAAATATGAAAAAATACAGAAAATTTTGTAAAGACATTTATGCATATCTATAATATATATATATATATATATATATATATATATATATATATTCACATATTAAATAAAAATAACTGTGATAAATAACAACTATTTTTAAACAATTGTAGAAAAAATTTGCATATCTATAATATATGCAAATTTGCATATCTAGAAAAAATACAGAAAATTTTGTAGAGACATTTATGCATATCTATAATATATATATATATATATATTCACATATTAAATAAAAATAACTGTGATAAATAACAACTATTTTTAAACAATTGTAGAAAAAATTTGCACACATCATCATTATTATCATGTATAATGGCCACATGCAAAGCATATATTACTCTGTTCGACTAAGTTTAGCTTTCCCATGGAAGCAAACCCAACTTGAGGGATGAACAGGTATGTGGAATTGACAATTCCAATTCCATCCTGCTCTAGACACAGCCAAACGCGCGTCGCATTCCCAAAAGTTAAACAATATAGTTAGATTTCTCATGATGCCATGTCAATACAAGTCAAATAATCAATTAAAAAATGGTCATTACCCAATAAAATTCTGGGGTCTGGTGGAATGAAAACCACAAACTGAAAATGATTATATAAGTAATAAAATCAATAATTTCTAATAAGTAATAGAAAATGCTCAAAAGAAATAGCATTTTTATTTGTAGAATAAGGGAGTGTGTTCAAAATAAACTTGCTTTAAAATGTATCATAAAATTGCAAGCGGAAACAGCAATTCTGTGGTATTAAGATACATTTTTCAGTATCAATGCTATACTTTGCACTTAATTAATGCACCTCAAACTGTAAATGTAGCATTTTGGAAGTTTAATTCTACCTTCTCTGATATTAATTTCACATGATATATATGAGAGCTTATTAATTTGACCAAATGGTAGTGCTCAATCCTCACTTCCTTCATTATAATTAATTAAATTTCAGCTCAGGGCAACCTGGGCTCCGTTCGAAGAGACGAATAATGCCTCACATGCTTCTGTGTTTGTCCATAGATTTGAAGTCTAATAAATTTCCGCATCAAGAAGTATGTTAAAGAATAAAAATCTTATACAAAGATTTCATCTAACAAGTTAAGCTTTTAGGTTGAATAGTTCTTTAAGACTTATATATATACTGATCTCTATTTTAATAATTAACGGATTTACCAAAATTTGTCGCTCTCATTCTTAATGCTTGGGCCAATGGGCATATCAAAAGTGATTGAAAAAGTGTATTTCCTTGGAATAGCCAATGATATGAGGGATAAAAATACATGCATGTTGGACCACCCAAATGCCTTATCATAGTCACTTTTATTAGTCAATTTCTCATGGTGTGGAACGGGGTCTACAAATCCACCCACGCAAGCTAGGTGGTGTGGGAAATGTAACTTTGCTTGCTTTGTCAATTTATTAAGAACAGCTAGCTAGCCCGCAGCCTAAGATATTTTAGATATTTTGGTGCCCTTGACGCAGGATATTTTGGTTGATGGCCCAGGTGATGACTTTATGACTATTCTTCACTAGCAGATCAATACGGATATGAATCATCTTCTTAAAAATATCTTATTAGAGTAGGAGATATTTTATAATATGAATGTTTTTGTTTTCAATTGTTTTGAGAAATTACGGAAAAAAAACATGCATTTTTGACTGTGTTTTTTATTTGGAAAGCAAAACGAAGATGGTTTTGTTTTAAAAAAAAAAAAACAATTTATGCATGATTTTAATATTATATGATTTATAGGACATGATACTAGAAATTAAACCAGATGAAAACATGCCCTTTTGCACTCCTTCCAAATTCAGCCTTAAACCAGAAATTAGAATGCCTTTTTGTATCTTTGTTTCAAGAAGCAATTTGTTGTCGAACCAGATTATTTTGATTCGTCTTTCGAAACTTGAAACAAGTACAAACAATTTGCATTGGAGAACGTCCCCTACATGTTTTTTTTTGTGTTTTTGATAAAGTAAATATTAATTATAATAAAGGGATATATATATATATATATATATATAACCGCCATTAATGCATAATTTAGAGCTATTAATACCTTACTCAAAAATGTTCAATACAGCCCCAGATTCTATGAC